ATCGCTACTAGGAGCAAGGACGCTAGGCTACTAGGGGCTCCTGGCATTGCTACTAGGAGCATCGCTACTAGGAGCAAGGACGCTACTAGAGCCTCCTGGCATCGCTACTAGGAGCAAGGACGCTACTAGGGGCTCCATCGTTACTAGGAGCAAGGACGCTACTAGCACCTCCTGGCATCGCTTCAAGGAACAAGGACGCTACTAGGGGCTCCTGGCATCGCTACTAGGAGCAAGGACGCTACTAGCACCTCCTGGCATCGCTACTAGGAACAAGGACGCTACTAGGCGCTCCTGGCATCGCTACTAGGAACAAGGACGCTACTAAGGGCTCCTGGCATCGCTACTGGGAACAAAAACGCTACTAAAAACAAGGACGCTACTTGAAACTAGAAGGTTTAGGGCTTTGGCTTCACTATTATTCCGTGCCGACTGCGACTGCGACAGTGACTGGCACGAATGCTATTACATGAACGCTTTAGTGACTCCAGTGCTTGCAGGAGAGGACCCATGCCAACCATTCCTCAAATGGGAGCCCCGCAGGTGCAGACTCCACCTTCTCTCCCAGCTTTTTCAGATATGATTCGGTATCTTGGAATATGTTACAGACGTGTATTTGCACAACAACGTGTGATTGTAGGGCCCTAGCTGCCTGAGTATACACTCGGCGTATGATTTTACAAATTAATACAACTGCTCACGCCAGCTGGCTGTGAGTTCTTGATTCCTGGAGCTCGTATTGTTGTATGCGTTGCTTCGCAAGAGAAATGTTTCAACGACTGAATCAACTTCAATGTGGCTGACGACTGATTTCGCACAGTGCCAGCCCTTTCCCATTCCTGCTGGATATTGTGATCTTTCTGTCAATCAGGCGTATGGGACTCGCCCACTCTACTGCTGTGGCCCTGGGTTTGAGTGGGCTTTTGCTTTGAGCGATGCTGAGCCTGAACCAGGTCCAATGCCGACCGACCTTTCGGCTGTGCAGGCAGCTCTGCATTGTCTACGTGTCTCTCTTGCGCAGCTTGAGTTTTGCCAGATAGTTTATAATTTTTTAAAGGTGCATATTGCTTCAGGAGCAGCAAGCGCCCAAACATAAGTCAACTACCAACACAGAGCTGGCAGCTGGAGCACTGCCAACACAGCCGTTGGCTTTTCAGCCCCTTTGGGCTGATTTTGTTTGCGAAGTATTCCCTGCCAGAACAGGAAACCTCCTGCGTGAAACCTTAGCACTACTGCATTTTTGCGACCTTTGCGTGGTATTCACTGATGATGTTGCTTTACTTTATTATGCTCTACTACTGGGCTTGCTTGGGCGTGCAAGGAGGGTGAGGTGGGGCAGTTTGGATGCTCATTGTGATTGGTTCGCAGAAGTTGCGTTGATGAACTTGGCAAGATGGATCTTCCTTGGCAAGATGGTTTCGAAAAAATGTGGATTGATAAATTACTCCCGAAAGTGAACTGTGCATCTACATGTGGGCCAAGCGAAAATTACAAAAAGTGAGGAATCGAATTTGGCTTGAGGAACAGCACTGTGAGTGAAGGAGGAATTTGGGGAGAGGAAGCCAAGAGCTCACCAATGCCACAATTTCGTTGATGATTATAATATTATGTATTATATATATTTGTATACATATATATTCTTTATAAGAGGACACCGCAATGAGGCCTTAGCCGCAGCCAGAGGACTTGAAAGGGGCCTTTCTTCCAATCTCATATCTGGGTTTCTTCTTGTAAGGCCTCTTCTATATGTATCTACGGCCCCAGATGTCAAGACGCTAATTCGTTCGATGTCTACCGCAGCTTCGGCTTTCAGCAGACCGCGCCCGATGCCTCAACGTTTGGAGGAGGCGTCACTGCCACCTCAGGTTGGAACCAGGTTGGGGCCATTGCTGCAAACGGGGGCGGGCGAGGCGACGTTCTGGAACGCGAGGACGTGGCAACAGTGTTGACGGTTGGACTCTTTGATGGAATTGGTGGCTTGCATGTTGCGGCAGATGCCATCGGGATGACAGTCGTGGGTCACGTCTTTGCGCGATCATCGTAGCTGTCTCTTTACTCACGTCGAGCCTGTTCACGGTCTGCTGAAGCAATGCTTCTCTTCACCGGTTGATGGAGTCAGTGCTCTATGGGTCCTATAGACCGTGCAGTGATGAGCCAGTCGCTTGACACTTGTCCTTACCTCATCGACTCCTGCCAGGCAACAGGATGCCGACGACCGCGTCTTACTGGCCTTCATGGGAGTTGGAGGTTGGGGACGCAGCGACTATCTCCTGTCACGGAGTTGTGCTTAGCTTGGAACAGGAGTTCGGCATTGATGAGCTCTTGGAGCCAGGTTGGCGTAAATGCCGAGACTCCCCCTTTCCCACTTTCACCACTAGCAGACCGCGTGACACGCCCGGCCGTCAACCGGCTGGCGTCAGCATTGTTCAGCAGAGGAGCTTCGCAATTTGGAGCTCAACGGGCTTACCAGTATACCAGAAGCGACTGGGCGTGCGCAACGTGCAGGGTGATTGGCGGCTTCCCAGCGTGAAGAGCGTGAAGTGCTGATGGGTTTTTCCAGGGGCTACACCTCCCACTGCCTTCGCCCCAAGTCTCAACGACGCGGGGATAGTTGGAAAGACGAGCGCTTGTCCTTGATTGGAAGCTTTTGGTGCGTTTTCGTCATTGCCTGGCTGCTTTTTTCAATTTGCCGTACCACGTGGGTTTGCCGCGCGCGTTCAATGAGGGACCTAATGCGTCGATGTATGCCTGGGGGGGGGCGCGTGCTGCAGGTGCTCCAGCTGTTCACGCGAGCTCCACGCACTCCCATCTCACAGAGTGGTGATCTACTTGCACAAAAGCTGACAGGAGCGGCAAAGGCGAGGACCTATTGCTCCAGGCCGAATTTGAAGACGTGCGACGGTATCATCGCCTGCGCGCCAGCCTTCCATCGAAACTGTGGAGGTGGCGGATTTGTGGCTGGCGTTGGCAGGGCAATGCCGAACACATTAACGCTCGAACGGCGCTGCGATGGAGGTTGTCGAAGCGTGCGTGGTTGCGCACAAGGTTTCTGCGCTTAGTTGACTCACAAGTATGTCTTCACGCCCTTGCTCGAGGTCGTTCCACTATAAGTCCGACGCGCGTTGCTTCGCATCAACTCTTCTCCTGGCATCCGGCTCTCACGCGGTGTGGGCCTACGCCCACACCGATGAAAACCCGGTCGACGCGCCAAGTCGGCGCCTGTGAAGAAGCGATGGGTAAAATAGAGCGTATAGAAGGACGGGAGAGGGAGAAGCGTTGAGCAGCCTTAGGGAGTTTGCGTTGGAGTTTGCGTTCGTAGACAGTTCAGCCCAACAAGACGAGGGAACGATATAACAAGGCATTGGAACAATCTTGGGCCTACTTGCGCGAAGAAGGTCTGCGTGTGCCCAATGAGGCCGGTGAACTTGACCGCCTGTTGGGTTGTTACGTCGAACACTTGTGGTCCGAATCGGCCGAGCGTTGGCTTCAGACACTGTTGCTGCATTGCAGGACGCTCAACCCAGTGTTCGTAAACAGCTGCCAGCGACGTGGCGAAAGCTTGGTCTGTCAATGAGGTCCCGTCTCGCGCGCCTCCCTTGCCTGAGGACGCCTTGTTTGACTATGGTGGGCTACTCCATGTTCAAGAAAGGGCGCCGTTTCGCCCTCTCGCTTCTGGTCGCTTTTACGGGATTCTCAGGACCGGTGAGATGCTTAGCTTGCAGGCTTCTGACATTTCCGTTGGCTCTGAGTGAGGACCGGTCGTACTGTCTTTGGGATGGACCAAGGCCAAGGGAGGCCAGCGCCAAGGGGCGGCAGAGAGCGTGACGTGACAGCCGAACAAGTAGTCCGATGGTTGTGGCAATGGGCTCAACATGACTCTTCCCGCACCGTGCTGTGCGACACACCGTGCAGGCAAGTGGCGGCAAATTTTTCACAACGCCCTCATAGCAGTAGGGTTCTCCACCCATAATTTTCGACCATACTCTCTTTGGAGAAGCGGAGCAATTTACTTGTAAATGATGGACTCTTCGTCCTTGCTTCCATGAGTTAAGAACCGGACCAATCGTCAGTTCCTCCAAATCTTCATAAACAGTTACCTTCGTTTGAGCCCGCCCGCAAATCGGGCAGTACAGGGGGCCTTGGAAGGAAGCTCAAGAGCAAGAGAAACAAGAAGGAAAAGAAGGAAAACTGAGATGCTGTGAGAGAGATTTCTGAAATCATCTCGGGGTATGAGGCCTTGATCTTTTCGGTTTGGACCTCGAATTTTTCGGTCTTTGAGCTGGGGGACTGCGATGTGTTGGCCGTGGTTCCCTGGGAGGACAATGTAAGTTGGCAAAATTGGACTTGAGTTAGTCCTTTGGTTTAGTAAGTTTAGCATCTGTTTGACAAACTCGGTCTTGCTCGGAAAAAAGACTCGATGTTGCGAATTATATAAGTCCTTTATATATATATATATATTAGTATGTACACCACTGGTATTATATATATATATATGGATATAGATATTTACATTTTCAAAACAAAGTTCCAAGCAAAGCCTAGGGTGCTCCACGTTTGCGCAAGAAGGAAACTCCTGGTCCTGGAATCCTTTGTGCGCGCAGACCATATAACCTTTTCCTTTACGGGGCACTTTCTGCCGGCCCCAGAGCCCAAACTGCTCGGCCCTCGCGCAGCTGATCATGGGGAGTCCAAATTTCAGAAGGCACCCTTAAAGCAATGGCCCCCAACCTGCTAGCGATGGCCTCCAACCTAAGAGCGTGCATTTTCCACACGCAGCGCGCTGTAAGGCCACTTTGTTTGCAGCGCGTTTGCGACTTTCCAATCCCCCAAAGACTCGATGGATAAACTGAGGTAGCTAGTGATTGTAGTTTATGGTGCAGCTGCTGCCACTGTTGCAGGCGTCCGGCCAATGGCGTGCCAATGGTGCTTGCCTCAAAGGCTTTACTCACTCACCTGAACGCTGCAAAGACAGAAACATCTTCAAATTGCGTGTATGTACACAGATGCTCGCTGAGCAGCACTTTGGACTCTTCATCTCCACCAGGGTTTCATGGTACACGCTGTTTATTTCTTGTGTTTCTCAAGTTCGATTGTGAGATCTATGGTTTTGTCATTGGTAACGCAACCCGCCGCATGTTCCAGCGAAGCGTGCGAAAGCCTCTCTCGCACTTTGCTGAAAGACTAACCTGGTTCTGCAAGCAGTAAGACCAATGTTACCGACCTATTGCTAATTTTGAAGCTATTAGGTTGGAGGCCATTGCTAGTAACTAGTAGGATGAAGCAGGCCCTTGCCTTGATTTGAACCATCCACTTCAAAGACTGACTTTGCCCCAGCCCAAAAATGGAACGTGCTCAACAACCCTCCGTGCCTATGTCGCTGAGCGTAAGGAGGCCTACAGGAAGAACACCTCCTTGCCCACCCAAGTCTCCAGGTGGAATCTCCGCAGGTGAGCGGGGCCTAGGCCACCCATTGCTAGGTTGCATTGGCCTGTTCGGGTTCCGCCTGCAGCTTCAAGAGGCAATCGAACCTCAGCTTTGGACGATTGGGTGGATGGAGGTTGCTTGTGGGATATCCATATGAACCGCCCTTCCAAACCACAGGAAGAGTTGCGGGCCCCGAGGCTACGTTGCCAGGTGGACTACCCTCGCATCATCGTCATGAGGCAAGGAGTTTTGCTGGCTGGATGATGAGCTGAATCCGATCGGCTATCAGGCCAGCTTTAGTTGCATGCTTCGGATTCTCCATGTCCACCAGGGTTTCACATGCGGGCAGGCTCACAGAGTCAAACAGGGGCACGGGTATGGTGCCTCGTGCGCCGCGTTCTTTTTTGCGTTCCTCAACTTCGAGTGTGATATTTGTGGATCTTACGTCGTAGTGTTTGTGTTGCTTTGGGCCTGCACGCGCCTACGAGCTCACCGCTTGCTTGCTGACTCACGCACCCAGGCATACTGTACCCGGGCAGCAGCACACATTTTACAGCTACAACTCAAGTGATAGGTCAACGTTTCAGTGCTTTGCGAATTGGATTGGGCCGCTATCCTTTAAAAAATCATATATATATATAATATAATATAGTTATTTTTATTTCTATTTTGCTCCCTTGTCCACAAACACGCATTTGATTTGTTGCAATCCCCCAGGTATGTTGTGGACCAACTTGAAACAACCGAATTTCAATCATGTTCTAGCACAGTGGCAATTATGTATCGTCGAGTTTCAAACATGTTTTGCAACCTTTTTTGATGCTGTTCATGCTAGTGATTCATCGTAACTTTCGTCTGAGGACTGCAAACTAATCCACACCTCTTCCAGCAGCAGGACTGAGATGCTTTGGCTTCAGCACTTTTGTGATCTATTGCAATGAATATCTGCCGTAAGGCAATTCACGACGTGTCACAGCTGGCCACAATGTGAGGGTCCAAATTCCCCAAAGATGAGCTTATTACAGTTTGCGACTGCGGCCTCATTTGCAAACCTATGCGCCTAAGAGTCTAACCAACTTTATACATTTTTAAAAGTAACGCGAGTATTGGAATCATGTCTAAGTTGGAACCGCTTTTGTAGTCATTTTGTTCAATTTCCGTACTTAGGCAGGCCTTGGAGTCAAAGTCAGGTCCTTGAAGGTGTTTTAAGGGCCTTTTCCAAGCACTTGAGGAAGGAATCACGAGATCCTTGTGCGTCAATGCTGACCAAGACCAATTTGCTTGTCTGCACAGTATATATTGGCTGCTTCTGCTGAGGACGAATATGGGCTCGAATAACCAACCCCAAGGCACACCGCCATTGTCTCAGTTGAGGTCTTCTTGGGGATGCTCTATTGAAGTCAACTTTATACATTTTTAAAAGTAACGCGAGAAGTCCAAGAAAGAGCTTCAGCTTCAATTGGGCAGAGGGAATTGCCTTAGGCCCGACCAGGCTTTCGATGATAACAAGGACTGGGTTGACAGTATGACAGTATGCTGCTTCTCACCCAACTTGAAGCGCCGACAGTTCAGTTTGAGCAGCAACAGCGTTAGTGACGTTTCAAGATTTGGTTTGGTGTTTAGGACCTGACACCATTTTTGTGGCTTGTGCGATAGTATTTGTTTCTCCAGGCAAAGATCGACTCGTGGGAGACCTAGTTTCAGATGTTATTGCGTTGACCTATGAAGACTTGTTGTATTCAGGACACCTGCACAATATATTATATCAAACATCAAGCTAAATCTTCACTTTTGACCTTCAGCATTTTAGAGGGAACCGTTCTTTTCCTTTTTTTTTCCCCACCTGTCAGGTGAGGGTTGTTAGATTTTATGTCAGCCCTACTCCTCCTCCTTCTCCTCCTCGTCCTCCGCCGGACCTCAACCACGGCCATCCACGCCCAGTGTTCCCTGCCGGACCTCGACCACAGCACACAACCACAAACACACAACCACAAACGCGCAACCACAAACACAACTACAAAGAGACAATCACAAACGCACAGCCACAAACACAAACACAACCACAAACACAAACACACAACCACAAACACACAACCACAAACACAACCACAAACGCACAACCACGATCGCGACCACAAACGCAACCACAAACGCGCAACCACAAACACACAACCACCAACATAGCCACAAACACACAAACACAAACACACAACCACAAACACACAACCACAAACACACAACCACAA